AGAGAGAGAGAGCCCGCAAAGAGGGAGAGTGTGAATGCAAAGAGGGAGAGCGAGCCCGCAAAGAGGGAGCGTGTGTTCTCAAAGAGGGAAAGTGTACCCGCAAAGAGGGAGCGTGGGCCCGCAAAGAAGGAGATTGGGCCCGCAAAGAGGAGGCGGTCTTTAAAAGCGCTGAGCCCATCGGGATGAGCGGCAGTTGCCGCCGCGCCGGACTGACCTGAAGGCGCGCGTGACCTGCGTGCGCAGGCGGCGCTGGGCGCGGGGGTCCGCGGGGCCGTCGCGGGGCAGAGCGGCCAGCTGCTCGGCCAGCGCCGTCGAGGGCGCGAACCACTGGTGCACGAGGAGCAGCGCGCGGGGCAGGCCTCGCAGCGCGCCGCGCGGCTGCCCCGCCTCCGCGCCCACGCCCGCCCCTCCGCCGGCGCCCTCCGAGTCGCTCCCATCGCCCACCGTGGCCACGGACACGCTGCAGCTCTCCTCCTCGTCTTCCGAGTCTGCAGCACAAACGCACGGCGGGGACATTACACTCAACACAAGAGCGAGGTCGCCGTCCAAAGTGTAGGGCAAACACAGAGTAGATTTGTGGGGGATAAATATATTATCAATGAATAAAGTACTAATACATGACGACGTCCTACCACAGGGCGCTGCAATATTAACGACAAAAGATCCTTATAACAGACTAAAAATGTTGATTCCTGGACCTATAAATAAACCAACCCGCAGCATTATCGGAGCCGCCTGTCAGCAAGCGTATGCGTCGAGGTTTGACAGTACCGACCCAACAGATTAAATAATGAAATTGTGCAGCACCTGATGATCGGGCAAAATGTGAAGTAATCTCGTCGGCTTGGGAGAGACGAGCGAGTCGATTAGATCACCCCAGTGTTACAACTGCTACTTGAAGCGGTGCCCTGGCCGCAACCTACGTGGCAGTGCGTGCGTTGTGCTTGAGAATGTCACGCGTAAGTTGTGACGTGTGAAGAGCGTCCCGCGTTGGCCACTCGACGGCGTCGCTTAAGTGGCGGCGGTCTACCCTACAGCGCCCAGCGCCCCGCCCCCCGCGCCGCAAGAAACTGCGTCAAGGGCATGTCGCAGTACTCAACTACAAACCTGATGAGTATAGCTTCGATTCTGACAGGTGAGTCCTAGGTTCAGACCCGGCGGAGGCGGATTTTCGACACGAGCGGGATAACTAGGTCGAATTCAGATGCTGATTGGAGGAGAATTTCAGCGGCCGGCGGCTCAGCTGCTCTCACGCTTTTACGCGCTTTATCCGACCAATGCCAGGTGAATGCTCGAGCAGTAGCCGAACTAATGGGTCGCGGATGACGCACGCACTTTCCTTCCTCTTCCTTGTCCTATCCTCACCCCTTACTTACTCTTACATGCACTATACTATCACATATGACAGAAGATCAGTCGGGAGCTTAGAGCTTAACCCGGCAGGGACGGTGCAGCGCTGGGGAGATACCTTGACGTTGGAAATCCCAAGCAAGCCTAGTTTAAGGATTTCATCATCCAGCGGGGAGGAACACTCCCAGCTCCCGCGATTAAACATTCCCTGCACTAACGAAACTGATGACCATAGCAGTTGACGTGCTCTAAATCATCAAACATGGTTGAAATAAGAATGAAAGAAAATATCATATTACTTTCCTAATACATCGTTGTTTCTTTAGCGATTGGCTGTGAACAAAGGTACTATATGATTAAAGTGTCAGAAAAACCTGTTGCGTTGGCTCGGTGACAACATCCATGGCCGCTGTAGCTTCTCAGAACGCGAATCCCGAATGTTCTAGGGTCGAATCCCGACAGGGAAGGATTGTCGACACAAGCTAAATAGCTACTTCGTATTAAGCAGTTGTCTGAAGGGGTACTGTAGAGTCCGGCTACTCTGCACTGATCCACTCTTTTCTCCGGATCTCGCCTCCAGTGATTCCTATATTTTCTTAAACCTCAACACAATTATGTCCGGTTAGCATTACGAGAATCATAGAGACACAGAGTTTCAGGTAAATATCAAACACAGGTACCTATCCCAGCGACAGACGTCCACGGCACAGGGATACAATGTTGATCTTATTGTATAAAAAATGTCTCAATACTGGTGTAAAACAGCGCAATGTGTGCTGTATCTGTTAGTACAACGTCTTCCACGAAATTGTGTTTTCATTTCGTTGACGACCTACGGATACTTATTCTCTGGATGTGCTTCATACTAAAGTAATATTTAAAGTGGAAATACAACTAAATATTTTCAGTAGGATTAATTAATAATAACTGACGAGGATCGGAAGAAGATGAGGGATTGAAAAAAATATCAGCAAGAAATAAACTATATGTAAACAGCTACTGCTGTCATTAACAGCCGATTATATTTTTATTTAGATTAAAATATTTTAATTTAACTTTGAAAATTTCACACGCCAACATTTTCAACGGCAAGAGGTACCCGTCATAATGGGCATAGATTCTCGGCAGCAAACCGTCACATGATAATATTTTCAGGTGCAAGTTGCTACTGACATTTTCCCTAAAATGAAATAATATATTCTCAATTCAATCAACTCTTGCATTCAACTACAGCATAAAATGTGAAGTATGCTTTCCAAGTTCTGCTACCACTTTTTAGCTGTCAATGAAAATGCGATGATTATAAGCCTCCTTCGTCATTTGTCATCAACAGTTCCAGGACATTGTTATAATGCAATTTGGGGCGAAAAAAAGAAGAAAATCACAATACCGCAATCTATCGTGAACTGTGAAAAGTGATTTAATGACCCGACATACATACAGTAGGATCCTATAAAGTTTGGCATGCAATTTCGAACTGAGACGTTAGCGAACTAGTAAGAAAGATACTTTACTACCTCAGGCAACTCTAATTTGATGGGGCATGTGTGGATTGCCGCAACCTTTCACGAAACAACAATTGTGCAAGCAACCATGAATTACATGAAATTTACAACGCTGGCGAAAAAAATTACCGCTATTCTAGGTTCTCGGTGCCTAGAAAAGCGAAGGGATGTTTGTATTTGTGGTGGAGCGGCCTCAAGGGCACAA